CAGGTTCAGATGAACAAAGAGTCATTCATTTGTACCGTGGTGCGTGGGTGAAATGGCGCTGTTGCCTTTCCTGTTGATCGTGGGAAGTCATCGCGTGTGGCTGAGAAGGGCTAGCAGGAGTGTCAGATGACCCTCTCGATAATTCACGGGACATCGGCAAAGGGTCGCTGCCCGCGATTGTCGGGGGGAACCGATAAAGATTGCACAAGAGAAGCAAGCAAGAGTCTCATCAGCTCGCGGACGACGCGCATGTATCACTCAGGTTATTAAAGGGTGTGGGGGTTGCGCAGCGTACGCGAAGGTGTGGGTGCACCAGCAGGATAGCGGAGCTGTCCCGCTACTACACACATGTTGCTATCCGTAAATTCTGTACGACAAAACGCCTCCCATGCTGCCCAACCAAATGCCTATGTTATAGTCACAGCAACCTTGCGCCCGTAATGCAAGACGGCTCTCTCACGCACAATGCCATAATGTAAAATAAAAAAAGCCTCAAACTGGGCGATCATCTGCTCAACACCAGGTAAACACCGGGTTCCGCCCCTTGACCATCTCCAAACGTTCTACGATGACCTTTTTCCTGTTACCCTCCATATCTTCGTTTGCAGCGTATCCTAGATCGCCGTCGTCGTCAAAGCCATAATCATCAAGGTCCCTCCTATGGGTCAAGGAGTGGCGCCTATGGTGTCGTGGGTCGCGCGTGTTTCGGCGAGGCGCATCGTAACTCATGCGCGACTGATGCGGAGGCCGGCCATTTGAGTGACTGTTCAGATTACGCGAACCCCAGTACACGTCGCTTACAGTCGCTGGTGATTCTGGGCCTTGGTCAGGACGTCGTACGTCGAGAGAGGATGAGCCGCGCGTGAGGTTGAAGCGATTCCCGTGTGCGGACTCGAGGGGTGGCGAGTTCATGAGGAGATCTTTCTGGGGCTTCTGTGGCGGCGTTGAGACAGCTGTAATATCCATCTCTTCATGTTCTTCCTCCACCCTTGGTTGTCTGCCTGGTGGCTGTTTCCTCCGCATCTCCGCGGACGGAGCTCTGAGCGGCACAGCGATGGGTATCTCGACAATGTCATCCCAGACACATACACGTGCCCTTCTCGTGAGCTCAAGCGGCCCAAGATCCGGTGTCTTCAGTGTCTCCACCACGTTCCAAGCCTGTCCCTTCATGACCGCGATCTGTTTCGCATACATGCGCTCCTTGAAATCGGCATCTTGTGAGAAGCACTTTCGAAGGGCTGATTGTGTGTCGCTCCACCATTGTTTCGAGGTGAGGAGGGGAAGGAAGTGGCGGCGGGTGGCTTCGGAGAAGGGCTGGCCGATGAGCGAGACGGGTAGGAAGAGCCATCCAAAGGGATAGCTGCGCCACTGTAGTCATGTTAGTAAAGCCTTGGGGAATTTGGAGAAAGATCTTACAGCATCAGGGTGTTTCCAGGGCCACGACAAACTGTTGTCGATGGCACCGATGGTCACCGTGGGTGTCGGCCCACGCTGCATGGGTGTGTTCGACCGGCTAGTCGTGGTCATGGGTTCCCTTCGCCCGTAAGGGTCAGATTCCTCCATCGATTGCCTTGTGTAGGAGCTCGGTTGATGGTCGTCGTCATCGTCGCGTTCCATCTTCGGTGGTTCTGCGACAATGGAGGCCTGCTGCGTCTTCTGGTCAATCTTGATCATCCAGTTGTCCAGGCCTCTGTCGGTGTTCCGCATGATGTAGTCGAGGATGACCAATTTCTCCAACTGCTCTCTGAACGACTGTTGAATTGCAGGCGTCCAGAAGCCTCTCCGTTGGTGCTGTGCGTCCCCATTGCCAGATTGTTCGTCCTCGTCCTCTCCGTCTGACTGCGAGCCATTTGGTCTGCAGTCCTCAGCCCATCTCCGCTTCTTCTTCCGTGCCGCCCTGTCCGCATTGTGGTTTGTGTTATGCTGATCTGGCCACGGGTTCTCCTTGAGGAAGATGTTCGCGTCCTTAAAGCCCTTCAGGAACACCTGGAAACTCCCAAGCTTCTCAGGAAAGGGCTTCCTTTTCCTGTAGTACGCGCGCCGATCCCAGAAGTCGTAATGGAAGGATTTTGAGGACAGACCGACGACGTCGGTGTAGGGTACGAGGTTGGTGCGCAGCTGGGTATCGAGGACGTACGCGGCGGCTTCGGAGATGTAGGAGAGGTTGGGAATGAGGCAGGCGCGACCGAAGAAGAATGGAAACAGGTTGCGATGTATCCACTTGGTCCATTTGGGGTTGCGCGACGCGTAGGGCTCTTCGTCTTTAGGCTTGAACACGCCCACCACCTTGCCCTGTGTGGTGCGCGCGAAGTAGCTGCCTGAACTACCCTGTGTAATCAACAGGGGATGTACATCCATCTCGATGGCCGTCCTGACGCTTTCCACGATATCGTCGAATTCGAGCTTCGTCAAGCGGTCTGATGGCACATCGTAGTCGAATGTGAGCGACTCCGCCGTTGCCGGTCGCACCCAGTCTGGCGCCTGGAAGACTGAGTGATGGATCTCGAGCGTCTCCTCGTCTGCCGAGTCTTTCTGCTTCTTGATCTTGAACTTTTGCGCAATCTCGTCGGCCCATCGCTCAAATCGCGCATTGATGGCCTTTATGTCCACGCCGGAATTGGCACGTTGCCGTCGCCCAGACAGGCCCTTTTTGTGATTCGGTGAACTCGCGCCTGAGCCATTCATTCGCATATTCGAGTTCCGCTGCGGTTGTATTGGCGCATATTGCGCGTTGGACAGGGGATTCTGGTGGTGGTCGCCCTCGAAGTCGCTGCCGGAGTCGTCTTCTTCTTCCTCGGCTTGGGCTATTCGGGCATAACCCGAAGTTGGCGGTCGTTTTGATTTTGGCATTGTAGTTTTGGGAGAGCGAAGGAATCAAGGTCGGTCGGAGTTTGCTGTTCGTGACTTGGTGCCTGCGATTATGGTGAAATGACGACCGCGGACACAGCTGCTGCAGGGGTCTGAGGCGCTAGTGTTCCGCTGTGGATCATCACATGCAAGACGCCCACACTGTGCATCTGATTCTAGATCGACCGAATATCTATATGCTGTGGGGTATCGAAGTCTATCTGCAGTACGCTCAAAGAACTACTCAAGTATTCGCGGCATCGGTCCATCATCTAGAAGCTATCGTCAAGATCCACTTGCCGTCTTACCACACTCGGACTGTCCTCGTCCATACCACCCGTTGAGTCTGTAATATCGCCACCGGCTGTCATGAGCAAGTCATCCACAATGCGCTTGCTAGCTTCTCGGGCTGTTCCGTATGTTAGCAATTGCTTGATATATGAGGAGGGGGAATCTTACCAGGCGTCTGCATCAGCTTGCTCTGTGGAATGTGGAATTGTATCGTCTTCGGAGGACTGAAGTCAACATCGTCGTCCTCTTCGTCGCTGTCATCGAAGATTGTGCCGCCAGTCCGGTGGATGCTCATGGGTTGTTTGCCTTTGGCAGGCGTCTGTATACTTATACCAGGTGTCCGTGGCGTCTTCATGGGCGAAAAGATGTCGGCGCGTAGTTGTGGGGCTGGTGAAGAGGGAGGTGAAGAGTCGAAGTCTAGCAACTTGGTAGCTGCGCTTCGTGGTGTAGGTGCTCCGCGCTGGCCGCCGGTGCGAGGGGTGAACGCACCCGTCGGTTTGTACTTTCTCGGACTGATAAGTGGTGTAGCTTGTACGCGGTATGTCTTGTCTAGAACGCGATGGAGTAGCGGGTCGTTGTTAACATAAGATTGTTTCGTGGCGGTGGGCTGCATGAAGGGCGAAGATTCAAAGCCGCTCATGTCTGGAAGGGCTTGCGACTTGCCAGGCGTGACGGGCTCCAGCTTCGGCGTCTTCGTGCCGCCAATGTTGGGTCTAAACTCGGATTTCAATGCCTCGTATGGGGAAGACATGCCAGCGAACTGAGGCTGCTCTTCATATTCGCTCTCTTCCTCGTCCTCGTGGTGTTTGCCTCTTGTGGTGGAAGGTGGAGCCCGCGGAGTGCTGTGTCCGAGCGAGGGCGAGTCGAAACCGAGAGTCGATTCGGCGTCTTCTTGTGCGGACAAGGGTCGTGGTGGTGTTGTCGTCGTTCCAGTCACGGTGTCCTCATCCTCTACCGTCTCGTCATCGTATGTTTGTGACTGTTCAGTCTCGTCTTGTACAGCTGATTCGTCTTGCTCGGGGGCTTCGTAGCCCGAAAGTGAGACATTGGCGCTGGCCTCGAAGAACTGTTTCCAGAACTTGGAGCCTTCCCAAACAGCTTCCGAGTGTTTTCCGTATTGTTCGACGATCGGTAGGATTCCGGTTGTTACGATGCGATGCGCGCGGCTGAAGTTCTGGTCGATTTCTGCTTGGGTCAGTCGCGATGGTGGGGTGCTTGACGCTGTGTTTACCTTGCAGTGTGAGGGTGATGGACTGCTCTAGCTTCTCCAGTTCCTCTGTCAGCGACAGATTGCGCTGCGGCGCCATACTCATGCGCGACATGGTGTAGTTCGCGTCTAGCAATGGTATGCGCGGTCGGTGCCTGACGCGCTTTGTCGTGTTCGGGACGAAGACTCGCGATTCCTTGGCACCCCCGAAGTTCCCCGCACCTTCACCCAACACTAGCTCTCCCCATCACGCGTCCGCGTCCACAATGCTTTTCTCAAACTCGACTCATACCTGCTCAAACAAGCGTGCGGAACCGTACCGCTCGACTCGTGTAACTACTGCACTCGCGCTAGAATGGCAAGGTTATCAACGTCATTTCCGGACCTCTTAAACCCGATGAGGATGCGTAGGTTTGCGCCATGCAACCGACATGCCCATGGTACGAGAGGGGTTATGCATACGCTACGCCTGTTCCGCATGCCCGGTTAGCCCATGTGGGCTTGCCGATGTTGTGGATGAGGAGATCTGGGGTAATGTATATCATGTAGCCGCTGAGGTGCATGCTTGAGTGCCTCGCTGTCTCCTTAGTTTACCTGTCCTTCTCTTCTTCGCATCGGGCTCTCGACTTGCTCTCATACCAGAACAACAATCATCATGTCGTTTCGTCTACCAACAAGAATAGCGTGTCAAGCAGTCCCCAGACTCGCAAGTATACCACGGGTGGCTTCCCGAGCACCACGATGGGCGCGTAGCTACGCAGTCACTTCAGACCAGAATAGAACAGCCATCGCAACGGGCTCTGCTCGCGGAATGTGAGACTCATGTACTTCATGAATGTACTCAATAGGGTTGACTAACCTGTGACAGCGGCAAGGCCATTGCTCTTCGACTAGCCAATGACGGATACGATGTCTGCATCAACGATATTGAAGCCAACAAATCTGGCGCCGATGAAGTCGTCAAAGAGATACAAGGCTTAGGGCGCAAGTCTTTTGCATATACTGCTGACGTATCGAATTTGAGTGAGGTCCAAGGCCTGGTGAAAGCATCGGTTTCGGAACTAGGACCTTTAAACACCATGGTAGCGAATGCCGGTATCGCACAGGTCAAAGCACTCCTCGATCTTACCGAGCAAGATCTCAAGCGCATGTTCGAAGTCAATGGTAAGTGTTTTTTCGTACAGGATGGAGACATCCTACTAACATATTTGTAGTATACGGCGTCTACAACTGCTACTCCACAGCCGCCAAGCAAATGATCTCACAGGGCAACGGCGGCAAGATTCTAGGCGCAGCGTCAATAGTAGCATTCAAGCCCTTCGCGCTTCTGTCTCACTACAGCGCCTCCAAATGGGCCGTCCGTGGTCTTACCCAAGCCTTTGCCATGGAAATGGCTGAACACAAGATCACCGTGAATGCCTATGCGCCTGGTATCGTCGGTACAGCCATGTGGGATCTCATTGACGAGAAGCTCGGTGAAAAGACAGGCGCGAAGAAGGGCGACACGATCAAGAAGTACACCAACGAGCTGATTGCGTTGGGCCGGACTAGTGTACCAGAGGACGTGAGCAGTACGGTGAGCTTCCTATGCAGTAAGGACAGCGACTACATGACGGGCCAGACTATTGTCATTGACGGTGGTATCATCTTCACTTAATTTATGTCGGTTTTGAACGATAATAGTCTCCTATTGACGCATCTGTGTCGTATTCTATTGTTGGCATCCAGCTGGTGTTATCCGCCAGATCACTTAGTACCGCCAGCATCTGGATGTCAACTTCTCCTATATAAATCATCACATCATCAGTCGCTCCACATCAACTCGCATCACTCTCATAAACCACTTAACCGACACATCAAAATAGACAGCAGCTATCATGAGTCATTGGCCAGGCGGTCAATTCTATGGTACCAATATCATAGGAGGCATCCCTGTAACTGAGGGCTACTACGAATTCGAACCTTCCGGCTGTCTTACTAGCCCTAAGCTTCGACAAAGCAACCCTATTCCACTTGCCGCACGTACAAACCCCTACACCAAGGGTAGCCATAGTTCAAGCATACCTGGCATCAGTCTCGACCTTCTCGCTCGTCTCAAGACCGTAGTACACGAAGAGCCTAACTCTGGATCCTCATCTACTGTCACCATCAGTACATCGGTGCTGGACAGTTGGGCTACGAGCATAAGAGAGGCTAGGCGTCATCTTGATGCATTATATGATAACCGGAGAAATGCCGAGAGATTTGAGGAAAATGAAAAGCGAATGAGTATCTGGTTGGCGGACCTGAGGAAGGCCATTAATGATAGGGAAAAGATCAACCGAAGATCGGACAGACGGTAGAGATTCGCCTATGTGGCGTTAATGTTGGCAAAAGTTCAGTCCTTCAGATAGACCCAGCTGACATCTCATCTTCCGGGCTTTCCGGACTGTTCTGGTTCGTTCCATGTTTGTGATTGTTGGGGCGTGGCAAACTCACTGTATTGAAATACTTATACAGGTTCGTGTGTAGCATTATAGCGTGTCGACTACAAACAAGAATACCCTCGTAACACGTCCATCACAAGTCATGTCCTCCTCTACGTTTCGAAAATTGCTAGGCGAACTAAAGAACGAACAACCAGCAGACACAGAGCTGACCTTCGCTGTAACCCATAACAAACTCTGGTGTTGGCGGAACAAGATGGCAGACTTGGAAACAACTATAAGGACTATAGCGGGGACTCGGGTAGTGCAAGAGCATTGGCCTCAGTTAGGCAGCGATCTGAGGGAAATGAAACGGATCGTCGGTTTTGTGCAGAGCGAAATAGATGAGAAGCTTCAAGGGGCGAGTTTGCTGAAATGGAAAGAGCAGGAGGTCTGACGTTTGATCGATGTAGATACGAGCGAGGAAAAGTAGCTTAACGAAGCTATCTAGTCACTTCTGTTTGTACTTTGGCAGTACACGGAATGATTGGTGCCAGCCATGACATGGTTGCATCGATACCTGTTATAGTCACCCGGACGCTGGGCTCCATTCGTTTTTGCTCGGTAACATGAAGATAGGTGCCTGGCATGCCAACGCTAACTGTAATTGACCCATTCGCTCATGTTATTTCGTATAAGTAGCTTCTGATCATACGAATGGGGTTTATTGCCTATAGCAGATCCTGATTCCGCATTTACTGTGACTGAGCTTAAATCACGACAGCTATGACCTCAGAGCATAACCGAGAGGACTTCATCCTCGACGAAGACGCCGCCATGAACCAAGCGGAAGTACGTAACCAACTTGACGAAGGATTCCATTCAGATAATCTAGACGCGGAAGAGCAGCAAAGCCCGCCTCGCTGGACTTCACCAGTTCGTCGAGAGCTACCCATGCCCGCGCAATATCACCAGCCCATCAATACATCTTTCCCACCTCCCACTCTCATCCAAAGTCAATCCGACGTGCTGGACATTATATATACTGGCCCTGGCACCCTTGAAGTATTTACCAACCTGATGAACTACCAGTACAGCACTAGGGCTAGTCCGCAGCTGCAGTCCGTGTCCGGCCCCGTCGCGGAGGTGATCAATACACTTTATGCCCGTATCGATGAGCTCGAGACAAGCAATGCGGTGTTGCTACACAGATTCAGCAATGCGCAGGATGCTTTGGATGAAGAGTGCCAGAGGAACACACGTCAGCAAGCCTTTTATTTCGTATAAGATGCTCATGAAGTCTTCATAGAGAATCAAGCGTATGGCACCTCTAAAATGAGACATTCATTCTTGCTATGTTATCGAGTGAAGCAGCGTATTTGTTTCTGTGGCGCGTACATATAGCCCTTCGTCGTGGGTGTGAATGGGGTCGCGAAATGTGCCGTACTACTCGAAAGCTACCTAGGTACTTGGCAGTTTCATGGTATCGATACAGCTAGATGATTAAGCAGTCACTTACCTGTCATCCCTTCGATTGCCTGCGCAAGTCCCAACGAACGGCCTCCGCGTGTTTGCAACAGCAACACCCATCCGCGATTGATCTCCTATTGCTTATAAACCAAACCCAATCGTTTCGGCGTTCGTCCGTCACTCGATCAGCTGTCAGCCAAACGCGGTAATGACCACGAAACCTTTGAACATAAGTACAGCTGATCCGAGATCTACAACGCTCATCCCGTTGACAATTCATCACTTACTCTCCCAATCGTTGATACCTCCAAGGTCTTGAGCACGATGAGCCCTCGCAAAAACATGAAGAAGCCTGAAGAGCAACACCCTCCAGCACCGTTTGCGGAGGATGACACCGCTTCCCAAGGTGATGATGAGTTCCAAGGGTTCAGTCAAGACGCCATCGCCGATTATTTGGCGACCTACCATGCGATGTTAGCCTTGGACCTGAACAATGACGAAGGCGAGCATATAAACCATGACGCTTTCGAAGACTCACGGTCCGACCTAGGCGAATATGGGCAAGAGCAGCGCGATGAGATCCCATATCTGCCTAACAACGGAAACGAGCCGCCATCGCATATCCGAGTAAACTACCGTGCCGCTGTTCAGCCACCGCAACGTCCACCACCTCCGCTCCAGCAAAACTCGGTTCCTGTAGCTCCACCTCCAAGGATCAACTTTCAAAATGCTGCAAATCCGGCTCCTATGCCTTTTGCAAATGTGCCGCAAGCTCTCCCTGTATGGCACTTTGATAGGGGAATTCAAGCAGCACTCCGACGATATCGTCGCTTTCATCGTCCAATTGGCGGCTTCCCCGAAGAACACTACCCAAGAGGCGTCGTGCCAGGCGGATACAGTCGGGGTGTTGAAGGCATGCCCCGCGACTTGTTTCCTCATCGGTCTGTGCCGATCATGCGTCGTCCCAATGGAAGACAGGACGAACGAATGCCGTTTGCACTGCCACGTTCATTGGGTAGGGACATGACTCCTCCCATGGAACGCGACCTCCTGTTTGAAATGTGGGCCGATGCCTTTGTTGAGAGTAGAAGGATGGAGCAGGATATGACAGCATTCAGGGAAAGACTCCAGCGGCTGTACAAGTTCTGTTACAGGTCTTAGCGTTGAGGTGACGCATCTGGCTCGTGATTTTCGAATTTCCAAGGATCTGGGTAGAGTTTCTGGTTGTCTTCTCGCTGGCGTAGCCGTTCGCTCATTTGTTTGTCGCTTTCCATGACGACGCGTTATCATCTACGTGGGTACTTGCTGTAGCAACACAACACTCTTTATCTGTAGCCTGTTAGCAACATCGTTACTAAATCCCCATTCATCGTTCATCGCGAGAAGTCCGCTACATAGCAGTCATGTCTTCCTACCAAAGATCCAGCGCATCGCCCTACTATCTTCCGCTTGATCCTCAACCTTACCAGCAGCGATATGCGCGAAGCCCATCTTCGCGAGCGCCGATGCACAATCCCTACGATTGGATGTATATGAGCGACATCCTTCACAACGACATGCGAGCGATGATGGAGGACATGCGGACAAGGAGAAAGCAGTGGCAAGAAGAGAGGGAGAAGATGCGCGAGACAATCCACGGAGGCGGCGCGGACCAATGCAGCGATAGTATGATATGAGGCGTCCCATGATGAGGTCAACAATAGTTGTATGGAGATGAATAAGGCGTGTGTTGGTTGGGAGGAGTGTATGCGTTGTATACTTGATTGTGCAATTTCGCGATCAATATTGGGCTACCACTAAGCGTTGCAGTGGTAGAATGAGTTTCTTCAATACCTAGCCGAGTTTAGCATGGAGTACATGTGAAAACTCGGGACCAACCGCCGGTCAGATTTCGGTATCACAGATCTGAGTAAAGTTAGCTACCCCTCGAACGCTCTGTATTGACCAGTGAGGGCGTGCACCAGGAGCTTACATAACAGCATGTATCGACATACCTTCATTTGATGTCCTGTATTACGTATAGGCTGCGATGTCCTAGGGAGTGGCAAGCCAGGTATATGCTATGCGGTTGCAGATAGCCACGACATGCCTAGAAAGCGGTGATTGACGTATAAGTCATGAGCTCAGCAGTAAAGACAGCAATCGCCAAGACAATCGCGGAGTGCTGAATAGTATAACACATCCGGGATGGCCGTACATTGGTCGTACAAGCTACGATGGTTCCATGCAGGTAGGAATGTCGGGGAATCGGCCCGTGGTAGCCAGCCGACTGAACAACGGTCAAACCAGGTGGCAAAAAATGCCTGTGAGGTAACTGGGAGTAACTTGGCGTTCGTTGGTGAGAGGCCGACATTGATGATTCGCAAAAGAACGATATGATGAATGAAGCGGCAACATGGAATATCGGCGATGCTCTGGTGGCATTTGAGATCACAAATAGCGGACAATTCCTCCGTATGCCAAACACCAGCCCCTCTTTGGTAGCATGCAGATCGCTTAGATTCTCATCGTGAAACCCTCGGCTACGTAAGACAGACGAACGGGGCGTACAATGGTTTTCGTTATGATACCCCACGTCTTGGGTAACGACCGATCGGATATCCCGATAACGTTTGCGCGCGTCAATTTCGGGTTTGCTCTATCTCTGCCAGCAATGAGGAAGGTCGCAGCCGATACAAGGAGTGGTGAAAGCCGGCCACATTACGTCTTGTATTCAGCATATGACTTCGAGTCTTTCCAGGCGCTACACAAACCCTGATGCCTCACTGCACCTCGGTACAGTCGTCTGTCGAGGAGCGCGTTCGTTTTTGTGCGATCGACGCGGTCGCGTTGTTTGCTCAACTTTGTTAGCGGTCGGCTAGACAAAAAGACGTGGCTGAGCTTTTGCCTCCGCCCAGAAGCTTGGGTGAATGAAGAATAGCTTCCGATGATAGACCGCTCCCGCAATGACAACACAATGCTCCTTATTGGTAGACCCTACGCAGTCTATCGTCGCCCTAGGTCAAGACTCACGATGCGAAACGTTTGAGTGGCACTGGTGACCCTGGAGCCAACTCAACTCCCGAATTGTGAGATCCTGCTTTTGGCACACGTGGACCATTCTGTCTGCCTCAGGCGTGCTCTGTCTATGGTATAAGATCAGCTCATGCTCATCCGTCATCTTCTCACAAAATTCCGCACATCATTATACCCTTACTTGTCGCTTAGTTTTGCGACAGGTATCGTTTCTACCAGTCGCGATAGCATCGAAGCGATGTATGAAATTGCTCCTTTCAAACGGCATAAACGACATGGCATGCGGGGATACCAATGGCCAGCTTTCGATCTAGGAGGTTTTGGCGGCCATGGTGGTATGGGTGGTCTAGGAGGGTATCCAGTGTGGGATTCTGGCTTTGACACTCCATACTACGACGTGCCGGGCTCAGTCGAACAGGCGACGCGATCACATGTTGAGGCCCAAACCGAGTTTGAGAAGGCAAAGGAAAAGTACGAGGAAGCGAAGAAGAAGTTCGAGGAATGTGAGAAGAAAGGTAAGTAACCTCCACGTATCCATGTGAAGCATACGCTGACTTTGCTCCTATGCCAGTGGAGAAAGCCGAGCAAATGCTGAACTTGGCGAAGCATCGTGCTGGAGGTTGGTGGAATTGATGCAGTCATTGTTGAGTGGCTGCTGGCTGCACAACGTGGGTGGGGGCGAGGAAAGGCCCGTTGGTATCTCAAGCTCCGGGAATAGACGATCCGTGTAACTTTGATTTCGCGTTGTTCCGCTTGGTGGAGATCTTGTTTTAGCCTGTAAGGAGCTGCAAATGCATCGTCGGCCAGGAAGAGATGAATGCATGCGCCGTAAGCTAAGTGAACTTGAGCTAGAGGCGAATGAAGGCGCCCCAGCCCTACACGTATGTGTAATTACATCATGCAGTGTGTTGTATAGAGACCGGTGGCCACACGATACTAGCTAAGGTATACGCTATGGCGTCTCCATTCGGCGCGGCCGATCGTGGTGTGGGTGCTATCGTAGCAGGTATGTATTACGTTTGGATATCGCTTTCGTTTCGTTGTTCGTCGTTCGTCATCTGGCTGATGCTCTGTGTTGGTCAAATCAAAATCTTGGACATATAATTGCTGCGTCTGGGCCTCCAGTATGAGTGCAACCTGGGCACTTATCGCACCAAAGCGCTACGATACCTCTCAACATGACCGCTCATGCTGCTTCAACTGCTCGCGAAGCTCAGGCTTCCAAGGCCACAGGTGTACCTCATGCACGACCCGCTCACGAAGAAGTCGAGTATGATTCTGAAGCTGAAACTTTGGTCGGGAGTGAGTCTGATGATGACGGTGATGCTCGTCCAGCGCCGGCCAACAATCAGCCTGCAGCTCGTCACGAAGCTGCCCGGCGGCTTCCAGCTAACGAGCCCTGCACGTCTTCTCAGGGCGACATAAACGCAGCGGTCCGCGCGCAAAAGGCGAAAGAGATGGAGAACGCGGTCCAACGGTCCGAGTCGCTCATTGGAGGCGCTGGGCGGAAAGCATGATGAAAGAATTCCTAGCCAGCGTACCTAAGTAGATTAGCAGTACGAGCGTGATCGAATGTCGATTAAGAACTTCACGCGACAAAAGTTGCGGTGCGAAACTGGCAAGGATGAGAGCGAAAGATAGCTTCAGTGTGACCGCGAAGACGCGTGCGCGTCGAGTATCTCGGGCTAGTATGTTAGCAGCTTAGATCAACCACGCCGCTTTGTGATTCTGCCCAGGTGTCGTCTATCCCCGCGCGATCGCTAGACAGCTGCTACCTCCCTGTGCTTCACCATTATTTCAACGTGTTACTTGTCATACAGGACTTTGTTCCATTATGGAGTCGGCTCCGAGGCCACCCTCTCCGCCTACCTTTAGATCCCGGGTTAAGCGGTATACGGAAGACACCCGGAACGTAGCGGCATGGCTTCGCCAGACCGCTTTGAACTGCGGATATGCCGCCAGCACCGCATCACCAAGCGTGGAATCTTGTAACGGAAAGAAAGCCGAATATCTCATCAAGACGTCTGAGTTCATTCCCATGGCTGAGGCCATCGCGGCGCACAAACCCCAACCCACGATTCCGCAAGATGTATTAGCCACAATCTCCCGAGCTATCAGACTGCGCCGCAGAGAAACCCGATACGTCAAGTTATTCGGCGCGAAATGTAGGCAAAGTCAATTTGGAGACAGCACACATACCCATTTCACCGAGAAGGTGCTGGGCAAGGTTCGAGACGTGCTGCGGCCAATAGTCCAACCTACTGCACCTGAACCCCAGGCAACTACCGCACCGTCACTCAGCGAGAAGCTTGCTTCGTTTTTCGGTTCTGAAACCGACGAAGCCGAAAACATCAGCGGTGAGCCTTTCAACAATCTCACACCCGTAGACATCGACTTCGATGATGTGGAGGTTGAAGACGAATTCTTCTTGGCCATTGATGCCTTTATGGAGGATGTTTTCGTTATGCGTCAATACCTTGAGTACATTTGGACTATTTACAAGGAGTCTGTGCTGGAGAACAACGTCTGCTCGCTGTTGACGAATACAGCAATAGATGTCGTTCGTCTAGCTGAAAATGAATTCGCTAAGCTGATCAAGCGACCCAAACGCTTTCCGGAAGATAAATTTCCTGTCTGGACGCTTCCTGCTTTGTTGTTCTATAAGCGGACCCCTACCCTGGAAGAGAGGTTTACGTACGAGGAGTTTTCGGGTCTGATGCCAATCAAGCTGCTTCGCAAGGACGTTGAGGACCAGAGCGATTTCGCCTTGTTCTCGGTCTTTTCAGGGCTCAAATGGTATCTCTACACTACTCCCGAGCAAGGTCCCTGCACGCTTGACCCCGCTCGATTCAAGCAATCAGAGATAAGCTGGCACCCGCACCTGCCTCGGGTCGTCGAGATGTGCCAAATGATGCAGTGGCAAGCCGATATTCAGTTCTCTCCCGAGTTTGAAGGCTTTCCTGACGGCGTTGCTGAAGACGAAATCGCGCGAGGTGTTCGGCATATGACTAAATACAGAGAGATTCCAATCTGGGTGCAGTTCGCTGCCCAGACTTATATCGACATTCAAGATGTACTGGACAATATTATGGATGCGCCATTGAAAGAGCTGCACAAGTGGGTGGCAACGTCCAGCTACAGATTGAATGAGTTCCTCTCTGACAATGCCCGCCTCCGCACGTGGGATCTTACATTGCACGAGCAATTCACCAAACTTACAGGAAGTCTTTCCAAGAGTCAACAATCGCTAGAGCTTTAGCTTAAGCACGATGTATTCAAGAAGAGTCTAGCAAAATTCTCACCCCCTCATCTGTCCAAATTTAAGCGTGAGGAGAACGCGCTATTACGTCGACATCCATTAGGTTGCGGTGTGCTCCAGTACAACATGTTCGCCGATCTGCATAAACATGGTCTTCAGCTTGAACAGACCACGGACTGCATTCGACCCATGATATACCTCTACGCGGCGACTCGCCTACTGGTCAAAGATCCCCCAGCATGGCCCGACATGGAATTACTCATTCTTCGCCAAGATCCCAAACGACTTTTCTTTGGCAAGGAAAGACCAACGGACTACCAAGAGGTCTTGAAACATTTTGAATGGGCATTTGGGGAGAGGGAACAGAATCCTTGCCCTGAACGAGTGCAACATCTCGTGGACCCTAGCATATTGACAGGTAGCTTCCACGACCGGTTCAATCACCGCGTGGAAAATAGCGAAGAGATTGATACAGAAGTGTCTAAGTGGGAGGCACTGGTTAGCAGCAAAGAAGGCATGACGCACATGCTTCGTCAAACGAACTTCCCTACGGCGATGCACACTGAAGCCATAGAAGCACTTCAAAGGCAGGCCCAGAACAATAAGCCAGATGCGGTACTCAACCGGCTCAGCACGTGGCTAGAGGCGGATGCTATCGATCTCAACTTTGACCGGCTGACCTTGCACAACATGTGCGTATCCTTTTGGGGTGATCTTTACCCCAGGCTCGTCGAGTCCAGGAAAACCCTGTCCTTCAAACCAGAAACTTTCCGCAAGACGCCTCGCCCACAAATTGGCCTCGTTCGGCAAATACTGCGCGAAGCGGTCCAAGCCTACAACACTTCTCAGAATTTAGCACTTGAAAGCCCTGCATATACATACGGGCAAGGTCTTCGGATTGCGGCTGCTCTGTTGAAAGAGACAGTGACGGCGCCAATGGATAGCACGAAATGGGGTCCCACCACGGAAGGCGATATCTGTATTCGTGCCACAATGATACAAGCTTCTAGTTCTGCGCAAATATTGCACTATCCGGGCGCCTACTACATGATACCCGGTCCGGCACATATGTCAGAGCTCTATTGGGGCTGGGACATGACGGTTTTGGAAGACCTTCACACAGTGCAGTTTGCTGGTCTCTCTCATATAAAGTTGGAACAGTATCAAGCGAGGAGACTTGAGGAACTGAAACAGCAACTCGATGAGGACGAGGTCTTTCGAAAGCAGGCAGCAAATGTTGAACGAAAGAACTCTGAGCAAGGCTCATCAGCGCAGAAATCTACGAAGAAGCCAAAGAACCTAAAGAAGAAGAAGAACGGTAAAGGCACAACCTTTTAATGTAAGGTATATGAGATGGACGACGAGGACTACGATCTGTTTGATCACACTATGAACTGTATGAAGAGTCTTAGTGTTCATACTCCTACCCATAGGGTATTCACTGCGCTTGTTGCTTATGGAGGCGCAGACGTAACGACAACGTATGCTTCAGGAGGTCATTTAGTTTCGCGTACAACTCAATCGAAACGTTCGTCGTCATAAATGCCGCGTCTTCATAAATGCCGCGTCTTCATAAATGCCGCGTCTTCATAAATGCCGCGTCTTCACACTGTATCCTCTTGCTCACCTCGTCACCTGTGCCGCAGCGCCATTGATATCCGCTTCTCCAAATTTCCATGATGAGGTCAACAACCAGATCCAAGGACAGCATTTCGTGTGGACAGGGCCGTCAGCGACGGATTTCGATGTTTTCCTCATTGCAAGCCGCAGTAAGAGCATAGTAGACCTGACGCACTGTACAATCTTAACGTCTTCATCAATTTTCAGATCTTGTAGTATCAAGGCATACACATGTGGCGCTGAAACTCTTCACAGTCAAGAAGACCGTAGATCTTGTCTTCATCAAACGTGTTGAGGTTTGGAGGATTGCAAAGGAGGTTGGGGGAAAGGGCGCACCCCAATGACGTCATCGCCGTTCTGTCTTGGCAAGATTAGCTTCTCGCGTCGCGGCGCGTCCTCAACACCTTGTCCACACACTGCCATCTTCTGGTCCTGTTATCGCTTATGCGTAAGCTCCAACCCGATCCCGGACTCTTAATATTTCGGCCGACTTTAACCTCACGATCGATTCCCGTCGCGTCGCGTAGCCCGTATTCAGCCGCCTTTCTCGAGAGAGTACTATCACATTATCCCGACATCCGGGCTCTGCGCATTCGACAACCGCTGTTCAATACTATACATCGCCCTTAGGAAATATAAATCGTCTCAACATATTGGCTCGTAGGGAAATTGAGGCCTCGTTCGTGGCCATGTAGCGCTCACCTTGCGCCGCCCATTGCGGATCTCGATCTATCCATGGATCCTTCGGGTCTTCGTCATGTCAAGGCCGCAGCCGTATCTTTCATATTGCGAGATCTTCAACAGTTGACCATGCGATAGCGCCTCAACACAGCCAACCCTCGCTTCTAACTGTCTAGGGACGTTATGCCGATCTCTGGCACCCGATATGCCGAAAGACACTCGGAGTTTTGAACGAACGCCGAAGTCGAGGCGTGCCATAACAAGTTCTCCTCTTTACCTAACCGATAGTTCAACCAACACTCATTCCTTCGGCGGTACTAGTGCCCCGATCTTGGCAGTCCTCGTTGCTCCCAATGACAGAAGCGGGGGACGGCTTGGCACATGCAAAGACACTATCTCGCAGCGATAAGATACACCCCAGCATGTAACCCCACCTTTCCGCCAGGTGGGTTAACGACGCATCAAGGCTATGACTTCCTATACAGCAATAGTCTCATGCGTCGCGGATACGAAGCATTCACAATGTTACGGTCGGTTTCCCACAAGATTCGGATGTTTCAACCTGATAAAACACTGAACAGGACCTTGAAGATGTTGGATAGCAGCAAGACATGTGCTCTGCTGGTTACGAACAAGATGACAACAGATACCAGACATAGGGCCAAGTTCGAGACAAAGTGTACGAAGATATGGACTGTAAGACGCGGTGATGTCCGTGCTGCGCCCTTCCCCGGAAGTGGTCAGGCTGTGTGGAGACTGTTCCTTACAGGCCCTTACTACCTCTGATTCCTCTTCTTATCGTTGTTCGAGCCTGAGATACCATCCTTCCTCGTTGTCATCGTCGCAAGTCACTGAAGCCTTATCTGGGACCGCAGCGCTCGCGACGGTGTATAAAGTGTACGAGAAGTGCCGGGAAATGTTCACAGCATCCTTTGCTAGTACCGTTGAATAATATGCGTCGCTCAGCTCTGGTCTCGACCGTTCTTCTCGGTATAGCGAGCTCTTCCACCATCCCCTTCCTTGGATATGACAGAAGAGTAGCGCGAGACTACTTTGACAAACGCACCGACAATGGAACGGCATACTCTTGCTTGACTGAGGCTGCTACCACCACAGTAGCGCCAAAGACTAATCCATGGGCTCCTTTGACACCGGATGAGAATCTCGCTGTCTGGACAATGCTCCATTCGCCATCCTCCGGGCTCAATCTTACTGATCCCACAAAAGCTGTGCTTACGGACAATTACGTGTACGTTATGCTCGAAGTGGTGCTTTCGGAGAAAAAAACGCGGCTGACAGGTACCAGATTCTGGCTTGATGCATTGCACACTAATAAGACCGATGTCCTGAAGTACATGGACGAGGGTGCAGCAATGCCCGCCAAATACGCCCGAGCCATCATCTTCCAAGGTGGAAAAGCTGAGCCAGACTCACAAGAGTACATGATCGGCCCACTCCCCGTATCTGCAGAAACCAAGATCGAGAAGCTGGATTACATCTACAACGGCGGCTCCGGTGGTTCCGTGCCATACAACGCCAGGTACTTCGACGGCCCAAGGACGACGGCAACCGAGCCGCTCATCACATCCATCATGTCGAACATCTCAGACATTACAGCAGCTCTCTTCCAAGGAGGTGTTTACTTCGGATCGGCCGACGAACGAACCAATCTCTCCTCGACGACTGGCACGCCTATCTCTTTCGATGGCTCTAGCGCTTTTCGTAACATCATGTTCCGCTTTCCAGGTCCAGCAACTTACATGACACCGCTAGACTTCTATCTCCTAATCGACTGTAGCAGCACTGATCCTTCTCTCTACTCACTGAAAGGATTCATGACAAATGAAAAGTTTTACCCTACCATCGCAGACCTACGGAGTGCATTTGAGTCAGGCGATCTTGCTATGGAGTTCGACCAGACTCTCGACGCGAGTTGGGCGCTAGTCGACTACAAGCCTGAGCTAGGCGTGCGGGATCTGGAGGAGCGGCTCGCGCCAAGCACTCTGGAAATCGGAGGAAAGCGATACAAGCTTGACAAAGAGAACCAGTATGTTGAGTATATGGGTTGGTCATTTTACATGTCATTCTCGAGGACGCTTGGCATCATGTTCTATGACATCAAGTTCAAAGGTGAACGTATTCTTTACGAGTTGTCGATGCAAGAGGCAACTGCTCAATACGGTGAGTATTCCTTCTGTCTCTTACTGGACAAGAGCTAATTACTACAAGGTGGCAACCAACCGAAAGCTGCCAATACAGTATACCACGATACCTACTACCAGCTTGGTACTGAGATGGGCAGCTTAGTAGAAGGCTTCGATTGCCCATGGGGATCGACATTCTGGAACATCACTTACCCATCTTACAACAAAACGGCTGTCAACAAGAACGCAATTTGCATCTTCGAAACCGACATGAACTTCCCGCTCTCACGTCATCGCACGGGCGCATCCAACGAATACGGTTTCAGCAACCTCGGCAGCGTCAAAGGCGCTGGACTGATTGTTCGCGCGATTGCTACAGTTGGCAACTATGACTACATGTTTGACTACTCCTTCCACATGGACGGCTCGCTAGAAGTCATTGTACGAGCATCTGGGTATCTGCAATCTAGCTTCTATTATCCGGCGCAAGCAAAATTCGGACCGAGAATCCAACAAGCCACCCAGGGCTCACTTCACGATCACATTGTTACGTACAAGGCAGACTTCGACATCGTCGGTGCAGCCAACTCGCTTCAAGTTTCGGAGTTGGTAGTTGTCAATCAAACACAACCGTGGTTCCCTGAACTTGGCGAATTTGAACAGATGGAGATGAACATTACATACATGGCCGAAGAGCAGCAGTTTAACTGGGCACCTAACAACCAGGCTATGTACGTCGTATTGAACCCGAACGCTACCAACGCCTGGGGTGAGAAACGCGGCTATCGTCTCGTACCCGGCCGTTCCGATATTCACCTCTCAACCCTCAACTCTCCATGGTCACGCAAGAACTCTGAATTCGCCAAATCACATCTAGCCGTTACGAGGCAGCACGACAACGAGCCATTTGCCAACAGCGTTCAGAACATCAATCTTCCCTTCACGCCGCAGCAAGACTTCAGCAAGTTCTTTGACGGCGAATCCATCGAAGGTGAAGATCTTGTCATTTGGTTCAACCTTGGCATGCATCACTACACTAGGAGCGAAGATGTACCTGTGACCTTGTATACGGAGGCTTATTCCAGTATTGTATTCGCTCCGCAAAACTTCTTCGACAGGGCGCAGGATGGCGATTTACTTAATCGCAGGTGGATTGAGGTCGACGAGGATGGAAATATGACATTCGAGACCTATGGTGTGGGGCTAGATGTTTGTCCAGTCGTTCTAGACGAGCCTACAGCACTGCTAGGCGGTGGTGGTGAGTTGTAACCGTCGACGATCAGCCGAACGTAGACACACCCAAGTATTAACACTGTCAATTGACAGCGTGTCGCGATCTTGTGACGGCCACCGCTTCACTCTGTCATACTTGGCATTCCATCACGCCAGCAGTTTCTTCATCGAAAGTGATTGTTCAATACCATGCAATACGTGAACACACAATGGCCAAGATCAGACTTGACGCCATAGAAGTGGTATATGTTTTTCTTCTCTCGCTACAACACCACATCTCTTTCGTTCATCATGCGCCTTCCGATTGCCACCACTATCGCCGCTGCAGGCTTTCTCGTTGCCTCTTGGTCAGAGTCTTCAGACCGCGCAACAAACGCCGTGTCGTCGCCAGCCTCTACTGCGACTCTAGTGGCTCGCCAAGATGACACAAAGCCGCCACCCTTAGTTACATCCATCACCTTCCTTACCTCGATAGCCTTCGTAACTGCCGAGCCGTCTAGTCCGGTTATCGTGCCATCGCGTAGTCCAGATACCTTCTCTGAGCCTCCACCACCTCCACCGGCCCCGTCAACTACGACGGAAACGCCGGCAAGTAGTGAACGACCGCCCACAACGGCCAGCGCTACTACTACCACCTCTCCGACTTCCATCGAGACTAGA